TTTCCCAGTGGCTTTCTCATTCTGATTACCCTATCAGTCCTGCATTTTACTGTCTAACTTAACCATCTTATCACTCTGCTTGTATCAGAGAACTTGCTTGCTATGTGACATCAATATTGATTCTATTTACAAATTAAAACCTTAACACCTTAGCCTGACATTGAGGTCCTCTATGGTCTAACCCATTCTCGTCTTTCTGAACTCCTGTCCTACTGTCACCATTCAGTACACTTCCTCCAGCCTGTCAATTCCTGAATGTGACATACTCATCCCTACCTTTGAGCCTTGGCTGAGAATGTTATCTTTCTCCAATACACTAGACCAGGGGTCAGCAAACTTTTGAGACCAAAGAGCCGCCAGGGGTCAGCAAACTGCAGCTTGTGAGCCACATGCAGCTCTTTGGGTAAGTACATGTGGCTCTGAAGTAAAATTGAAAATGAAAATAAAACTATCATAGTTTCATTTATAAAATTTTTAAAGGATATTACTCACATAATGGTAATTATGTAAAAATATATTTATGACTCTTGAATAATTTTTATTTTGTTGTGAGGGACAGGATTGGCTCTTCCAGGGGTCAGCAAACATTTGAGACAGAATGTACCCAAAGAGCCACATGGGGCTCGTGAGCCACAGTTTGCTGACCCCTGCGCTAGACCATACTAGGACCTCTACAAAGGGGTCCCTGAATCCTGAAAGTTGCATTGCTTTTTTGCACCCTGGGTGAGATTGTCATGAGCTGCATTTTAATTTCCCTTCCTCTGCTAATTGCATTAAGTAACTTGATAAGCCTAACTCTTAATTCTAAAACATTCACCTTCTTTATATCACCCATAGCAACTTTTCGTGTAACAGTCCCTCAAGAAATATGTTTGGCTATTGAATAAACAAATGAGTGAAAAGTACCTGTTGGCATTTCCTCATCAGTGACTTTCATTTATCTAAGGCACCAGTGATGGTTTGGAAAGAGTGGCAGGGAAAATCAGTTTTCAAATTCTGTCCATGACACTAGTTACTGTCTCTGTAAACTTAAGAATCACCATATTCTCAGAATTTCCAGTTAGTTCAGAGAGGGCCCAAATCACAGACCAGTGGGGTTCTGCATTCATTCATTTGAAGTAAACTTATTGATGAATTTGCTCATTCTTTCCAAAAAATCAATTGACCTACCTTTATGCCAGTTATTGTGGTAGGGTTAGAGAGATACAAAAGTGAATGTGATATGATCATAGCTCCAAAGATTTTAGAGTATAACAGCTAAGAAACACTATCATTTCCTGGCATCGGAGCCTGGTACAGCATTGGGATCTTCCACATTTAGCCCTTGGAGCAATAAGCCTCAGAATGACTGCCACACAGTGAACTAGCCCAATGAATGGGGAAATGTTATGAGCATTTAATAGAAGGGCAGAGACATCCCAGAACCCAGATGTGGATCTCCAGCTTTGTCACAGAGGCTTCCTGTGAAGCTGAATAAAAAGAAACATCAACAAACATCTGTTAGTTCTCTGCCCACGCCTGCTCTGAATCAATGCCTGCAAAAGGCATACACCACCAAGGGAGGGGAGTAGCCATTTTGTCCTTCAGGTTTTTGCTTGAGTGGTGGTCTGCCAATTGTTAGAAAATTGCCTTTTCTACCATTATAAAGGGTGACACGTAGACTTCATTTGCACATCTAACATTCTGTCACCACCAACAACTAGAGGGGGTGATGAGGAGACAGGAAAGGTGGCAGGAGTGAGGGGATGCCTTCCACCGCCTTGTGAAGCTCATAGCAACAGCTCCATACCTGTTCTCTCCATGATCCACAAGGTTCAAAGAGTGATTTGGTATAAACCTGGCATGACCCACTCTGCCTACACCCCTCTGCTTGCCATCTCCCTTGGGTTCGATGTCCCCTATTGCCTTCAAAAGAACCTCTTTCTCTGGTCCCCTACCTCAAAGGAGCCACTCTTCCTCTTCAAAAATGTGGGATTCAGACAAGACAGGAAATTAGAGTTACTTGTCAACCAAGGACAGCTTTGCCCTTGTAAGCCACAGGATAGTGGACATGTGGTGACTGGAAGTTACATCCCTGAGCTACTGCTCCTGGATGGGATGTTTAATGGTGTTGCCGGGAAACGTCAGGGCATCAACTCGGGCTCCAGGCAGGAACAGACTCTTCTTGCCAAGAGCGCTTTTAGTTCCACTTCCGCCCTCAGAACTAGCACCACGAACAGATGAAGGAGGTGAGAATGCTGCTGCCAGAGCAAATGTGGGCTCCTGGGGCCTAAGGGAGACTGACACAGAAAGGCAACCCCATGCTGGCATTTTCATTAACAAAGAGGCGGCTGGCTTCTGGCAGAACCGAATGAGGCGAAGCATGGTCTTTCATAGGAATTAAGTGATAAAGACTCTACACTTACAGACTGCATTTTGAGAAAGTACAGGAACAGACTGAGACTTAGCAATAAGTGTTCTGAAGCAGTAGAAGCCTTGAAGGGAGGAAATGATGTCTCAGAACAGACAACAACAGTGGGTAAGCCCTGGAAGAGTATCCAGAGACTGTCCCCATGGGATTCATACTGGAAAAGGATTATAGTCAATGCAGAGATGAGGAAGCCAAAATGGGTGTTCAGAGCTTACCAATATTCAGATGTAAGAACATTGGTAGAGCCAATGGTACTCCATGCCCTCTGTGGAATGTGTATTCAGACATTCTTGGATGCCTCATTATTTTCAATAAGTATTGTAAATAGTTCTCATTATTGGTCATTTTCATGAAGTGCTATGCTAAAGGACAATTCTTCCACTATGTACAATTGACTATTAAAGTCAAAAGGCTAATGCCCATATTGGACCAAAAAAATATTCACTTAAACTAAGAATTTAATTGTATCAGATGTGGTCCATGTTACTTGTGCGCATGCAGTAGTTTTCGAAAGTACCCTCCCTGAATTGTACTGTGTGTAACTGAAGGAGAGTAGGAATAAAGGTGATCCCTAGAATCATGTGGTTAGATTACTCAACAATTCATTAACCGTTTTTAGCCCCACCCAAGACACATACCACAAAGATAAACACCACATGCATAACAAATCCATTCATTTTTATTGCTTTAACATACATGGTTGAATTATCAGTTGAGCAAGGTATTAATAAACTAGTGACATGAATTGAAATACAACATTGTTTCAAATAATGCTACATAGAACTTCAAAACAAAACCAGTGTTACCTGTGTGAAATAAATCAATTGAGGACACAATGAAAAAACAAACCAAAAACTCTCATTGATTCATTTAAATATAAAAGACATACAGAATCACAAGGCATATTTGGGCATCTATGTCAATGTCATTGGGGTATTAAGGAACTTTTACTATTCCTGGATGAATAATTTATTTTTATTGATTGGTGAAATTGACTTTAAGGATAAAGATGGACCTGAAAGATCCATCAGTGCTCTTGCCAAAGTTTATCTGCAGCCAAACCATAAAACTGCTTTGAATTGGCCATTACAGTAGTGGGCTCCAGTACTGCCTTCACTCAGCCCCACTCTATCTTTTGTACAGCAGGATGAGATGTACAAAGAAAGATGATCTGGAACACTTCAAATGCCACTAAACTTAAGCTCTCAAAACATTGCTGCACTAAACATGACTACTAGCAATTGCTTACTTTTTTTTTAATCTCAGACTGCCTCAATTTAAATCTGTCTTCATCCTGAATTATAATGTGCATATTGCCTTCATAAATGTCACCCCATTTAAGTTGTCAAAGTTGTCACTTGTTAAAGTACATCAAATAAAGTGATTTTATTTATTTATTTATCTTTGCTAAGTCACTATGGAACTAAAAACATAATCAAGATGGAAAGCAGGAGCATCTAGAAATCTTTCATTGGAAGTTTTAGTTCATCTTTAATCACCCACTTACCCAAGACAATTTTAAGTCCCAATTATTAGGTACTAAATTGGGCATAGCATATGCCTACATATGTTTTCAGGGACTTGTTAGTCATGGATATGGAAGAAAAATCATTAGGCTATCATTTAGGCCCAATGAAATTTTCTTTGGAGGGATTGTATCACACAAAGAAAAAAAAATTCAAAACCAGTTAAAAAGCACAGTTTAACCCAGCAAGAGAGCTGACGAAATTCTCATATTTATATCCCCAGGGACATATTGTATACCAACACATAGTCATAGAGTTATAATGGCATAATTTGGCAAACAATGGCACACTACCTCTACAGTATTTTTTTTTAACTAAGTTTATGCTTAATGCCCCAGGAAGGAGGAAGAGTTCTGCTTAACGAAGAACATAAACTAACATCTCAGACTTGCCTCTTTGCTTCATTCATAAACATTTCAATTCAAATTTGATGTTAGAAGCCCAGGTCATGGGAACCTGTCAGTCTAAGCTAGACTCTCAGTGAATACCAGAGAAGTTCAGAGAATTCACAAAAATGGGAAACTGATACGACATGCCAAGGATTGACCCAGGACTGTGTAATATATGGCTGTTAGAATAAAAAAAAAAGTTATTTACAGGCTTTTGAACTATTGATTTAATTATTGAAAGGGGGACTTTAAAATGTTTAAAGAGATGCTATGTGCCATCAAGAACAAATAACCGAACTGAAAATAAGAATTCTTCCTGAAAACTCAAAAGAAAGAGAATTTTAGAACTAGAAAATATCTCATTGGAAACAAAAGCACAGGGACCACTCTGTTAATACCATTTAAGTGGCTTTTGTATATCCTACGTTGAAGAGATTTTTAGAGATGAGGTTAGAAATCTGAGTCTTGCTCAAAGGGAATTTCATTCTTTGGTGCTTCCTTTTCTTGCAGTTGGGAACAGGCACCATGATGACTGCCAGGTACCACAAAGTGAAAACCCAAAATAAACACATTTCCAGTTTGCAGAAATACCTGTGACTCCATTTTAAGAAAGATTTGGAAGGTATTTACTCCCCCAGGCCAGCAACATGGGCAAGAAGAAGCGTCTAGCTTTCAGTTGGTTCTAGGAAGAAGGGTCATGTAAAAACAAAGGACTAAATTTACCTGCAGTCAGGCCCACACTACATACATTTGTGATCTCCAGAAAGAAGGAAACGTATTTGCTATAGTTGGAGTCAGTTTGGAATACAAGGAAACTTTAGCATATTTTAATAATCCTTGGCTGACTCGCCCCTGAGATCCATAACTTTAAACACATAAACACACATTAGCAGTAAAAGAGGGAAGAAATGATGCCAACAAAATTTTTTTTCACCCATCAAGGTGAAGATGGGTTGAAATAGGTGCTTCCATTGAATATTTTCCTCTATGGTAATAAAGGTAATTTGGCAAGATTTTTCATCTTATTCTAGATCACATAGGTGAAATATTTATTCATATATCTGATACTCTACATTCAGTTATTAGAAGTGAGAATACGCAGCAAATTACTTTCGTATCTCTCTTTTATCTGTTTTGAATAATGTAGGTATGGATTAATAATCTTTTTTTAAGTTTCAATTTTTTTACTCTTACATATGAAGCCAGACAGCATTTCAAGTCTGTTTCTCATTTTCAAATGAAAAATGAGAAGGCTGGATAGTATGATGGCTAAAATTTCAGAATCTAGAGTACAACAAACTCAATTTTAAAGCCAGTGAGTTTTTTCAGCAAGATTCTCAACCTGTTTAAGCCTCAGTTTCCTTATCTATGGATTAGAGCTAATAATGTTTGTCCCATAGGGTTACTGAGAGAATTAAATGCAGTAAGAACATTTATCACAGATTTGGCACGTGAAGCTGGCGTGGAATTGAGGGTGATGTTCAGATTCGTAAGAATAGGCAGGAGTAAGGTTTTGGTGTAGAGCTCTGGTATGAGGGGGCTGTGGAATTGCTGTTTGTTTTGTTACTTTGTGTATCTCTAAGAGCCAAAAGCAGTACCTGGAACATCACAGTGGCTCAACAAATATTTGTTAAATATATGAATGTGTGATTATCCTGATTAGCTCTAACCTTGGGAAGAATTTCACCCATTATCAGCCTAGAACACTGGCTAAACTTCCATGTCTCCTCTTGCAAACAATAACAATAAATCACTCTCAACTGTTATATAGTTCATCCCCCTGCACCTGACATGACTTCACCCAAACCACTAAAAGCAAGTGTGCCATCTTATCCTTAAAACCTTCCTCAGGAGGAGGCTGCTTAATCTTCATAGAACCAAAAACTCTATCTCCCTGTGGCTATAAAAGTTACCTGCTTCAACAACTACCTTTCTTATTCCCGCCCCTACCTCTGTCACTTTCTTATCCACATTTCTTTAGAAATGCTTTGTATTGACTCATTTTTTTCCCCTCCATCTTGTCAACCTCATTTTCAAAGTCAGTCTTTTTGTTTCTTATCATAAACCAATGGAGCTATTAGATGCCATAAGCCAGCAGGCAGCCATGAGCCATGTCATCTCAGGATACATACAAAGGCCAGCCCTACAAACCATCTACTGCCTGTAGATAGGACTCTGGTAAGGTTGGGTTCCATTTGGAAATACTTCTATTAGCATTAATTATCTCCTTTTGAAGTGTTCAGAAATAGGCCCTATCTATCCTGGTAGAGGGGGAAGAAAAAATATTCAAATGTAAAATGATTAATGTTGTAAACTATCATATTATTTCTTTTGCTTTCATAGAACATGTTTGTTGTTCATGTGATTTAGTTAAAATGGCAAAAGTGTATTTAAAATTTTAATTCTTTTTGCTCTCATTTCGATATCTAGGATAGTGTTACATCCTTGATAAGGACATCTTTAGTTGCATACACTTGATTTTAATAATATCTGCATTAGACGCAAAGTGCCAAAATGAACTACTTCTGTCATTAGGTCTGGCTTGCTTATTTGGTAGTAACATGCAAAGTACTAATATGAAAGAAATCATAACGAATGGGCAGAGAGATGTCAAAAGAAATGTTTTAGGATTTTCATCTGAATAAGATTTGATTCCTGGTATGTGATATATAAATAAAAGGAATACATGAATATAAGCCTCTCAGATGTGGAAATTTTCCTAGTTTACTTAAAAAAGGCATTCAAATAATATGCAGGTTAAAATCTTTTAACTGGATGCCCCTAAACTTCCTGATCAAGTCAAACAGAAATAGTTCTGACTTTCCAAACTGAAAAATGGCTGTTTGATTCCTGACAACGCAATAGGCAGGTGGACTTGGCAGAAAACAGACTGACAAAAGGAAGTATGGATTTCATTCAACTTGATATCCCGGTGCCTGCTTTGCTGACCTAAAGAATACTTAAAAGGATGCTGGAAGCAGCTGGCAATTCTGCAATAAGCTCACCAGAGAATGATAAATACCACAAGAAAAAGGCTTGGATCTCATTCTACTCATTCTGCCACTACTATACAGAAATCTGTACCCCTGGGAACCACAATTCCTAGCATGAAAGTGTGCATTTGACACCAAAAATAATAGGAATATTTCTGGAATAGAAACAACCAAAGGATAATGCTGCTTGGAATTAAAATCCTTGGTTTTAACTAGAACACTATAGAATCTATTTGTCAATTTGTATGTGGCATAGATACCTAAGGAGATGAGAGATGGGAGAGAGATGCTTTTGGTGCATGAAAGAGGAAAGGATGTTAATTGGAGGTAATTGACTGGGATGAGCAGGCCTGACTGCATCATTCTGGTAAAAAGTATCAGCAGTTAGGAGGAGGATACCTAGCGCAGGGATGGGTGAGATGAAAAGACCAGCCTGGAAGTGAAGCTCTGGAAAGCCAATGAAAATACCTTCTCTGTTCTCACACATTAATCTTTCCAACCACTCATTATTGAATTTGAGGAGCTCGGATTATGGGGTTTGAGACTCAGATCGCTCACTTAACTGTATGTTCACAATTTTAACTATTTTACTGTAGTATGACTTGAAAACTGACTTTCTTTGAAGCTGTTAAATGTGCAAGAATGCCAGACTGAAAAAATGGGTCTTTCTGTGTAGCTCTAGGGATCCTTACCCCTTCAATGGAAGGAATTTTATGGGAGACATACATTTATATTCATGTTCGTAAATGAAGAGATTTGCAAAGGCCAAAAGGCACATTTAAGAATATTATACTTTCTAATATATTCATAGTTTTCACTCACATCATAAGACAAACAGAAAGGGAATAATTAACAAACTAACTTAGACATTTAATGTTTGATTTTTTTTTCCCCTCACCTATTCATTGAGTTGTACTCAGAAGCTTCATTAGAAAGAAACAAATACTTTAAACCAATAATTTTCACTTTTGGTAAATAAAAGGTAGAGATATATGTTTCTTACATTTCCTGTTTGATGAAAACCTTCCGGTTTTTCTAAGTAGAAGAATTTCTAGTAGATTATGATTTCCTGGATTTTTTATAAATTATCATTCTGATTCCAGTCTAATGTTTGACAGTGATGCTGGTGGCTATCCAGGATGAAACTGTCCCTGTAGGTGGTCTAAGCCCTCTCCTCCCTCTCAAGAATTTTTTTTTCCTACATATATTGATTTCACTAAAAGAAAAAAGGTGAGTTTTAATTAGCAGGCTAAAGCTAATGTGTCATCATCAGAAGAAACAATCTCTCTGATGTGATTTCAAAAGGCACATAGATGGGCCACCAAGGTATCATTCTAGTTAAATCTCTGCCATTCCCCTACAGAAGAAAGGCTTAAATATAAATATAGCTAATGCATTCATACTTACTAATTAGATTCATTTAACTATGCTTTATAGTGCAAATATTTGTTAATATATTTGCTGCTAATTTTTCTTGTGTATAAGCACTTATATTATTAGCAGATCTGAACTGGACTAAATCTTGAAATGTTGCCCATTGCAGGAATTCACTCAGGTGGACAGATGTCTTTCTCAGCTCTGTGCACCTGTTCTTACTGCACCTTTGATTATGACAGCAGACTTTATTCCTGGGATAGTCTCCAAGTTCATTTTTTCATTGTTTTGTTTAATTATAAGTTGTTTACTTTGAGATAAGCTGGAAATCTACCTACTTTGAAGAGGAAGCCTTGCTCAACTCTCTGTACCATTACTTTTAAAGATACAGAGGTTAATTGGAAATTGTATAATTTCAAGTTATTTCTTTGTTTTTGGCATCACAATGCTGCATTCTAAACTCCAATCTCTAGAGAGCTGATATAGAATCAAACAAACATTAGATTTTCTAGATGAGACTCTTGTGCTTCTTGAGCATGTGGCTTTAGGAACTATACATCTAGTAATTTGGTAATATTTTAAAAATTTACTTTCTGAACTAAATTACACATTTGCATGCCTACTTGAGAAAAGGATGTGTCATAGATGTCACTCTTGTAATGTCTACTCTTAAAGCAGAAAATTATGGTGGCATTTCAAAGAAAGAAACACCTTGTGCTGCCTCACTTATTTAGATAGTTCTGGAAAATAGAGTTATGTGGATTTCCTAATTCCTTTTTGCATTGCCTTCTCTTTTAGGGAGTGGATTCTGTCCAGAATAATTATTGTGGACCCCAGTGCATATACAAAACAGGGAGGAGCTTACTGCTTTTACTTCTAGGAAGTTTATGTACTGAGCCCCGGCAACCCAGAATTTTGGAAGAATAAAATAATTCATTACATTAAAAAGAAGTCAATGTTTTCCCATAATTGATAATAACCTATTAAATAAATGCTTTTTCCATACCATTTTGCTCAAAATACCATGTATCTCATGCTCTCAACTTTTATGCATTTTTATGTTTCACACATTCTTTTATCCACCTTGGTCCTTCTAACATCAATTGGTGATGCATATTTGAATTTGACTTCATTAAACTAACATGACGTGGTTGCAGAAACAACTCAATGGCAATGTTGTAGAAAGTACAGTTACAATTATAGTATCATTTTGATAAAGTAGAATAGGGAATGCATTTTTAAAATCCTGTGAATGGAAACTCTAGGTGTGAGAAAAAGTGAAACTGAAATTTAACCCTCAAGAGTGAGAGAAAGAGACCACAAGAGAGAAAGAGCAGGAGCAAGACAGAGAAGCAATGTACTAGACTCTGAGACTATTACAAAGTTCATTACAAGCTCAAGTAGGGATGAGCACAGTGATTGGGAATGTGCATAGTGAGCACAGTTATAAAATGACCTTGATGACTTTCCATTAATAGAATATTATTAAAAACACTCCAGCTTCATTGCCATTAACTCTACTTCATAGCTCAATAGTACAATTTACACAGTTATAGTTACTCAATATCCAAGGTTTTTCAAGCTGGCCTTTTAATTAAAATTGCAAACTGATACAAATGGAATTTTAGAGTCAGGCAGAACTGCTTACACTTCTGTTGGCATGACTCACTCAGGGATATAGTTAGATGTCCCATTTCCCCCAGTGGATGATAACTTCCCTCATATCGGAATTCTGATGGACCCCTTTCAACCCAGAATTCAACGTGCAAAACTGCTAAATGCAATTGCATTTTTGTACCATCAAAACTCATTGCAACCTTTATAATGTTAACAAACTGCTTCATTAATAATTGAGGCTGACCTTAAAAATCTAGGAAGTAGCTTGACTGTTGAAGCTTGGTTAGTTACTGATGGATGGATGTTAGCCTCATCAGTTAACAACAGATACAGATTTGTAGAGATTGATTTGTTTTTTCCCCTATAGCAGGGATTACACATCTTTGTCAGGTAAAGAAAATGGTGATTAAATGGGAAAATATTTTGTGAGATCTTTTGTTTCCATTGAAAACCAAGTTAAAAACTCATGTCAATTTTTTAATTCAAAATTAAAACGATGAATGCACTCAAGATATTACAGATGAATAAGACTCACTTGAGTCTACTATATGCATTTGGTAATGAATATAAGATATTCTCTGTGATGGGAAAGGCTGCATGACACCTGAAGGTTTCACTCATTCAACAACCATATATTGATGACTTATTAGGTGCTGGCAGAGATGACAATGACATGATCCCAAAGGTATGTTGCTCAGGATGGTTCAGCCTCTAATGTTTTATATAACTTGTGGGTTAAACTCTAAAAGCTAGTGAACTTAGAGTACCAATCAAGTGTAAAATTAAAGCAGTGTGGTTAGCCAGGACTTTGTAATAGAGACACTTAGAGTAGAATGGTGGTTTCAATAGACATGTCTTCCTCTAAATTCACTCATGACCTGCACTGGGTGGATTTTTTTCTTTGCTGACCCTCTTCTCACAGCTGCACAAGTTTCTTCTGGCTTTTCTCTTTTAATCAAGGGCTTTTTTGCAGGAGCCTTCATTCTCCACATCACAACTGGGTGTCGGGGCCCAGAGGGACTCTGAATTCGAATGATCTTGGTGGAGGCAATGTAAGACATTTTCACTGTTTGCACTACAGCATTCATTAAATTTTTGGCTGCTTGGATTAAGGAGGTGACACTGTCCAACTGTAGGAGAAAAGAAAGAAAGAACTATTATTCAGTAATGCAACTGGGAATCTAAAGAGGTTTAATGTTATTAAAACTGAAAGCGGTCACTTTGTTTTTGTACCAGAAATAAATGAGTTAATCTCCATTGTATACATCTGTGTATAATTATCTACATCAAGCTATCTGTCTTCCAGTATTTATCTATCTTATGCACAAACAGATCCATATCCTATCTTCTAAGATGATATCTTAGAGAGATTAATTTCTTTCTCTTGGATTTCAGTGAAATGGATCCTATAAATTCTATATAATATTATAATGGCCAGATGGTCATTGCTTTCTCTGTAATGGATCTCCCTATTTGCGGACATGATACTGAACCCTTTCTACAAGAGACAACTGCCTACAATAAAAGCTATATTATGCATTAGTCATTTTATAAGAATGATAACTGAAAATTCTTCCTCTCAAGGAATTCATAGTTTAAGATAAATTTCATACACACATACATATGAATGTATACATGCATGTATACCACTTACTTTCACAAATGTTTCCCAAATATTTTCACCTACAATAGTCTCTTTATTAAACACAGAACTTGTAAGTCTTATCATGCAGTGTTTTAAAGTAGAAAAAGTCAAGGCTTTCAGTCAAATTAAGTTGGGTTTAAATTCCAAGCCTGCTATTTCATAACCTGGGCAAATAACCATTTTCATCCTGGTTTCCTCAGCTATGAAATTGGGGGGAAAAAATGTTTCTTAAAGTTAAATAATATGTGTAAAGAACCTAGTAGAGTAACTGCTAAAGAGTTGATTATTATTAAATGTAATTCCCTTTGTTCCTTAAGAAGGCTGACAAAATTGCTTAATAAATGAAGACGTATTGATGACATCGCTAAAATAAATCTTTTCCCATGTATTTCTGTTTTTAATTGTTATATTTTCTGGGTTGTTCACAAAACAATCTTCAGGGAAAATGGGGTGGTATTCCTAGAATCTTGCAAAATACCTTAGAGCTAAGCCAACTTGGTTTATTTTTATACAACGAATGCCTCTTCCATTATTTCAGTTTGTTGGATCGTCACCCACAACCAACTCACACAGGAAGATGTGCCTCTACTGTCACCTGTCTGTGATTTGTGCTCTCAGGGTTGAGACTCAAACACCAGCTCTGTAGTTATTAAAATCCATCAGCAGTTGCCTGGCCCCGAGTACTCTACCTTTGTAGTTCGAGGAGTCTCATCTCGCATACAGAATAAATAAGTGAAGGAAGGTAGTAACCTGAGGTTATGGGCCTAGGGCAGTGGTCTAGCTAGCTGCTTCCTAGGAAACATTTTAATTACCACCATTATATGCCAAGCCTGAAATCCCTGAAAAGGTAACATCAAAAAATATGTAATTTGAAAGGTAGTAACACTTGGCAACTATACATCTTAAAGCCTTTTTACTTATTGAATCCAGAAATGTAAAATCTGCACATGTGGTGGGAATGACAAATGTTTTACAAACATTAAACAGAATTTCATGAAACACTCATATGTATTTCAGAGGAAACTTACAGTTTCTGAATCTGTACACTACTGAAAAACAAAAAAACAACTAGACTTTGAGTAGACTAACACAATTTGTTATTAACATTACTCTGTGACAGGTTGCAGGCTAAAATCTGTACTTTAATAATTAGCAATTTTCATTAAAAACTTCCTGGAGCTCAGTTAGATTCTGAAGTTGTCTCCAATCTCACCATAGGAACAAAAAGATTTTTTTCTACATGATGAATTATCGGGAATAGTATTGAGGATACTTGGTAAGTTTCTCTCTCGAACATGAAAATATTTGTTTTACTCTGAGGGCTCTGTGCTACAATAAAGTCTTCTACAAAACAAGGTCCTAGGGACCTGCTATCATTCAGGATTTCAGCAGGGGATTTGGCCTTCCTATCCTAAAACTTACATTCTTTTTTCCTCCTTTTTACTCTGTAAACTTGTCATGGATGGATTGTATTTATCCCACTTCCTTTCATTTTTTCCATAGAAGTGGCATACATAAACCAATAGTCTAGGGAAGATGTTTAAGTTCAATCCAGGCCTCAAAATGTGGAAACTAGCTTATCTTCTTTCCTCACTGAGTTAGCAAAGCCCTGTTAGCACCATTGCAATCTATTATGCTGGTCTCTAACAAATCCTTTTGTTTTAAAATCCATAGTATAACTGCTCTGGGAGGCTAAAACAACAACAACAACAACAAAAAAAAAAAACCCACAGGACAAATTATCATCCTAGGAGAGCTTGAAGACTAGTTTTGCAGACACATTAGGACAATTGCTACAAGAGGACTCTTATTTCATGAGGAAGCTTGTAGGACATTCTATGAGGATCTTTGCAGTCCAAAAACTATGTGTGCGGAAGATGCGTGACTCTCTGCTATCAGCCAGACCACAGGCCACATAAGCAATGGGCACAGCCAGGCCTAATAAGTAGCTGGAATTTTATTGGAGGCCCAACCAAGCAGTGCCTCAGACCCACTGATAAAGAATAACTGCAGAATTTCATGTCTGCAAAAAACCATTTGAAATCCTCTTACCCAGGCCGACTTTAATGAAAAATCCTGCAAAAGAAGGATTCAATAGAATCCTGAAAATGAAGGCAAATTTGAATAGGGAAATGCATCACATTATGGTCTCTGTGTCCAACTTATTGAACCCAGATTTGTGAAGTTCACAAATGAACCTGTGCAGGACAAGAACGTTAATTTACTCTAAAGGCCTGGTAAAATAATCAGACTCTAAACTCAGGTCTAAAAAATCTTTTACCATCATAAATCACTTTCATCAACTGAAAATTCTGCTAGGTGAATGTAACTTGCAATGTTTACCATCAAAGGAGCTATTTTCCCTAACACCTGGTGACACTCCTCTCTGATCTAGATGAAGAGTTCTTGATCAAGGTATCCACTGAAAACAAAAATGGCTTCTAAGGTCTTCAAACCTCCTATGTTTTTTTTTTTTTTTTAAAGATTTTTATTGGGGAATTAGGGGGATAGGAACAGTGCTGGGGAGTTGGGGGAAGGGGAACAGACAAGTTGCTGTTGTTTTGTTCTTCAATCTAGTTGTGGAGGATGTCGCTTCACTGGCCCAAGTTGGCACCATCATCGCGCTCTTCTCTGGCGAGGCAGATCAGTCACCGGCTTCTGGACGGCCGCTCACTGCGGCTGCTGGCCGCTCACGCTGGCTGCTGGCCGCTCACGCTGGCTGCTGGCTACACAAGGTAGCCCATGGCAACCCACTGCCACAGGGGCTGCAGCCTACGCCGTCGCCGGCGACTCCCGGCAGCCCAGCTCCAGGTTGAGCTGTTGTTCAGCATCTTAGCTGTAGAGGGCAGTGTCACTGGCCCTCATATGTGGGATCCGAACCGGGGCCCTCTGGCATCCCAAGCGAGTTCTTAACCATCGCGCCACTTGGCCGGCCCCCTCCTATGGTTTTATATGTAAATATTTGTATGCACACATACTAGAGGTGCCAAAAAAATGTATACAAGTGGCCACTTTGGTCAACGTTGCTCAAGCAATGGTTCACCTTCACCGTAATCAGAAGTGTGTGGATGCTGATGGTAACCACTTTGAGCACCTCTTGTAGTTGCAGGAGTCTAACGTGACTTGTATTCATCTTTTGTTATTGGTATATATTTTTACAATTTTAATACAGTTTTCCTTTCTTAAAATGCATATACATTTTTTTGGCACTGTCTGTATACAAAAAGCTTTCTATTTCCCCCTTTCATAAATGGGGACATGGTTTTAAGTAACTTTTCAAAGAGGATTTTGACCTAAATTGAAGGCCTCTATCCTAGATACATTGGAGGTCTTTCCTATGTTGGTGACTTCTGCTTATTCTTATAACACTAGTGTGGCTTCAAAATAAACAAGCGTGTTCATCTCTTAATGACATAATACATGTCTCAGTATTGTCTATATGCAAACATAAATTGGTAAGTTCTACCCCATTTTTTGAGGATCTAGATGAATATAAAGTGATTATGTTCATAAGTTAGCTCTTAGTCTAACTGCATGATGTATCTGCAAACAATCCACATTATAACTGTCTAAATAGAGTCCTATTATTACCATTCTATAGGAATCTTAGTTTATTTTATTGCAGTGTTTCTTCTGTGCTTTGTGGTATGGACGATGTGAGTTCAGTTAAGCTACAGTACAAATTTGTCCAGTCTTAAAAGTGCTTTCAGACAAAAGATTCAGTCCTTCTTAGAGCTATGTCTACAACCCTTTGCTACAGAAAAGGAGTATAGTAGCAATAAAAGGTAGTGTATTATTCTTCACAAAATGACAAAATTTTGTCCATGTAACTAGTATACATAGAATATCTGGATCTTTTCTTACAAAAGCCAACCTTACATGCCTGTGATGTCAGCCTTGAAAACAACTATGGCACACTGAAATGTCTGCTGTTTGTCAAAATCCTATTATAATTATTGATAGCCAAGAGAAACCTTAAAAAAAAAAAGAAAAGAAAGAAAGACATGCTAGCTTCCTTTATTTTCTAAGTTTCTCATCTATATTATGTCAGAACACCAGAATGTCTCCTACTCACACTAACTCCTTATTCTGGATGTAACACCTTCATCAGACACCTGTTTGCATGAGGATGCTAAGCTTGAGTGAACCTCACTCCCACTGACGTGGATCTTATCTCCTTGCACCTGGGCTGCCACCCAGGGAAAGCACAGCTTCCTAACCCCTGTGTGAACTGCCACACCAACAACTGCTGCTGGGACTACTTTGGAAAGAAAAGCCTGATGTTGCCTGGAAAGATGTATTTCCTGTCCTATAACCTTCTGAATAAACTGGTGCTAAGCATAGCTTATGATAATCTTGTGAGTCTTAGAGTTCCCTCGGACCTGCACAAATGTAATAGTTAAACAGCAAATACGTGGAGTTTGGCTCCAGGTATAATAATAACAGCTTATAAAATTGCTAATATCTACTGTGTGCTTCTTATAT